TTTTTTTCTGAACTCTTCCCCAGATGTGTGGCTTGACGCAAACCTGTTTCTGAGCTCTACAGGCAGTTCTTTTGACCTCAGGGCTTGGTTTTTGCTCTGATATGCATTATCAGCTGTTAGACCTTTTATTAAGGCATGTGTGCCTTTCCAAATCATACCCATTCAATTGAATTTGCCACAGGTTAACGTCACTCGAAGGGTAGTAACATCTACAAGCAATATAAATGCTCCTGAGCTAAATTTCAACTGTCCCATGAATACTTATACAATGGAATAATTTAAGTTTTTTATTTTTAATAAATTTGCAAATATGTTAAAAACCTGTTGTTGTTTTTTTGCTTTACCATTATGGTGTATGGAGTGTAGACTGATGTGGAAAAAAAAGTAATTTAAAGTAGTTAAACATAAGGCAGCAACATAACAAAGTGTGAAAAAAATGAATACTTTTGCAAGGCACTGTACTTGGGCAGTATAGTCAGCAAAGAGGGTGGAACGGACCAAGACATCAGAGTAAGAATTTGGAAAGCCTCAGCTGCGTTCAAGATGCTCAAGCCCATCTGGAGATCCCAGCACATCGACAAGAAGACGAAACTCTGTATCTTCAGCACAAATGTGAAGTCAGCGTTGCTTTATGCCTGTGATGGCAACACATAGACTGCAGACATTTACCAACAGATGACTCGGGTCTATTCTCTGCATCAGCTGGCAGGACAGAGTCACCAATAAACAGCTATGGGAACAAACAAAACAAGAGCTAGTGGAAACTCAAGTAAAAAGTGGGGGTGGCTCGGTCACATACTCCAAAAGCCCCTATCCTGCATTGTTCGTCAGGCACTGCAGTGGAACCCAAAGGGCAAGCGAAACCGCGGGCATCCCAAAATAACATGGCGAAGATCAGTTGTCAGCGAGGCACAAACGCTGGGACTCTCATGGGGCCAGATTGAGACTGCTGCCCAGGATAGAGCACGATGGAGGACCCTTGTTGATGATCTGTGCCCCACTGGGGGTTCAAAGGAATTAGAGAGAGAGAGACCAGATACCGATATTAGGGAGTTAAAAAAAAGTCTGATATCGATATATTGGCCGATATTCTTTATGTGTATATTATAGTACAGTACCAGGCATTTGTGTGTCCAAAATTTTGCCTGGTACTGTATATAGAATACAGTATATACATAAACAGAATATATATACATAAACACATTTTTTCACTCAAATGTGGTGATCAAACACTTATAATGTGACGAAGATATGTAATGGAGGCTGTCAGACTTGTGTTCCCGTTTTGTTGTTTTCCTCCCTATGTGTTCCTAGTTTTCCCTCTTGTGTAATTATGCCCTTATTTGGTTATCTTCCTGTTCCTGCTCCCTGATTGTTTCCAATTTGATCCCAGGTGTGTCTGGTCTTCCCCTGATTTAGTTGTGTATTTAAAGCTGCAGTCCGTAACTTTTTTTGGGTTAAAAATGATCCGAAATCAATATTTGAGCAAGTACATAACCAGCCAGTGTTCGAAACTATCGCCTTACTTTAGCCCATTTCACAACGGTCATTTTATAATAATGTTTTCTAATTTGAGTGGTAAGGGTAGGTTTTCGTGGGAAATTCGAGCATGCCGCTGCATCATTACGTCACTTCTGTAAACATAAAGAAGTTGTCCCGGCTACTAGGCTACTGCATGTGAGGATCCTGCAGGTGGCCGATCGTTTATAGCCTTTTCTCACAGCAGCTGGAATAATTAAATGTCAAAAAATCATTTTGATGGCGGATTGTAATCCAGAAAGGATTATGTGTTTATGAAACACATGTGAATTAAATTAAATTATATTCCAGTT